CTCAATTTGCACTATTTCTGGCAGTCTGCAACCCCCCTATGTTATTTCTAGTGCAGTTAGAAAGGCTCTCATGGCAGCCCGGTTGGCATCCATACTTTTTTGTGGGTTTTTCCAGACAATATGGCTCTGTTCTGAAAGAGTTTATGCCTGACATTTCACCTGCATTTGTGGCTGGCATCTTCAGAGGATGCAGATGCAGACAAAACATCAGTTCGTCCAAAACACAGCCGTGTAGCCCAAAAAAACCCACAAAAAACCTGCATTATTTCTGCCTTGCATATTAAACCTGTGCATCAGACTTCTAGATGCTTGGATGAGAACTTAGAAAAGGGACCCCCCCCCCCATACAACTGTGAAAAAGGAATGGGGGGATACTCCTAAGCAGCCACCAGCATAACTAGAGGGACTCCCAACTATTCTTGCAGCAGCATCACCACACACTTAACAAGACACAGCACAAGCCCTCCTGGGCTCTGAGTTCCCACTCATTTCCTTTCCCATCCTCTGGGTCTGGCATGCCTGCACAGCACCACTCAAAGCCTCAAGGGTGCTATGGTGAGTCTTCTTGTGAGATTTCACACCTGCCTTTAGAAATCCAGGTTCATTTGCTTCAACTGCCCTGGCCAGGACATTTTTCAGACCCTTCAATCTGGGATTTTCCCGGTTTTCCAGGACAATTGGCAAGCCTAAGTAAATGTGAGAGTCTGATTATGTAAGGCACACTGCTCAGGTTGGATAATAGGTTCTGTAGGCATGTTTGTTGTGGTTACGTGCCTTCAAGTTGTTTTCAATTTATTGCAACTCTAAGGCGAACCATTGTGGGGTTTTCATGGTAACTTTCATACAGGGGTTGCCATTGCCATCCTCTCAGGCTGAGAATATGTGATTTGCCCAAGGTCACCCAGTGGGTTTCATGGCCTAGCAGGGAATTGAACCCTAGTCTCCAGAGTTGTAGTTTAACACTCAAACATCTATGCCATTATTATTATTTATCTGTCCCCATCAACAAAGTAGTTAATCCCATACATAGCTAAAGTAAAGCCTCTCTTTATCTTGCTAATAGAACTTTTTTTTCTTAATTTCCTGCAGTATCCACCAGAGAAGGTGTCTGTCTGCATGAATGTCCCTCCAAAACTACCTAAACTGAGAACACCCACATCTTCATGAAATGCAGGTTTGGGACTAACATAGGTCCAAAATACACTGCAGAAATAATCCAGTTTGAGACCATTTTAACTGCCCTGGATCAGTGCTAGGGAATCCTGGAATTTGTAGTTTGTTGCGGTGCCAGAACTCTTGACAGAAAAGGCTAAAGGCCTCACAAAACTACAGTTCCCAGAATTCCCTACCATTGAGCAAGGTCAGTTAAAGTGGTCTCAAACTGGATTATTTCTGCAGTGTGTTTTGGACCAGAGTTAATTTCCCACCCTCCTGTATGATTTTTAACATCTTTGCATGATGAAGAAGCCAGTGGAGTTTTGAAAGTTTGTAACATGTATTTTATGCATTTTGCTTGGCCCAGTAAAGTATATCACTGTTTTGTGGATTTTGGATGTTATTGTACGTAGCTAAGGTAAGATATTTAAAGTACTGGCAAAAAAATTGGTAGAATTCATTGCATATGCCATTATGCAAATAGATCTTGTAGCACTATTTGAGACAGAGCAAAATACATTGGAACATAAAGTTTCATAGACTTGGTCTACTTCCTCAGATGCAAGTCTACAAAAGCTTATGCTACAGTCTTTCACTCAGTCTCAAAGGTGCTACAAGATCTTTTTGAATGCTAATATTCCAGACTAACATGTTTCTGAATTCTGTGCACAGGCCATATTTGTGATATCAGTCATGGTTGCCATTTCCATTTAATACCAGTCATCATGCTCTGTTTATCCATCTAGTATTTGTATGGTAAATTTCAGGTTAATATAGCTTCTTATAAGAATACTTCCCCAAATAGAAATCTCTTATACACAGAATAAAAACAGCATATCAGGGGAAAGAGAGATGTTGCTTCTTAAGCAAGAGGTTTGGATGAACATTGAAATACCTTACAGGATGAAGTGGTACCGTTCTGAAAGAATTACATCCTGTAGTTCAAATCCTTATTGTGTTTAGTTCTTGAATTCTTCATGCATGTGGAACTTTTGTACCAGTTTCCTATGTGGAAGTTGTACCATGAATATCAACCTTTGGGAGTGAATCAAGCAACACCACTTTCAAGCACAAGATGGTGAGACCATAAATTAGAAATAAATGAGGTTTCCTTTAATTCTTTAAAAGGTAGCCTAACTCACATTCCCTTCCTAAACTGCTGATTACTCTGGCCACAAATTCATATGCCCTGCTTGCCATGGTTGTTCTGCCCATTAGCACTACCATATGTAAAGTGAATGAGGAAGAGCAATCTTAATAGCAAAGCATACCCTCTATGTACATTTAGCATATCATATGTGTACCCTATCCTTCCTTATAGACAACTTGGAGTGGGGTTAAGAGGAAGGCAACAAGGTATGAAGAACAAAACATAATGAAAAACAGAGAGTTGGGCACATTCAACCTGGTGTAAAGACTGAGGGGGTGATGTGACTGCACTCTCAATACCACAGGGGCTGGTAAGATATTGTATTATTTAATAACAGCCAGGATTGCATTTGCTCAAAAATGGATATTCCAAGTGAGTAAGTTTTGACTTTTAAACTGTATGAGGCAATAGAAATTGATAAATTAATCCAGTTACTGAAAAATTATCAGTAGACAGAATATATGAAAAACTGAATCTGGTGATAAAGGTTTTTTTTTTTAAAAAAAAAAAATAGGGTCCATTAGTAACTACAGTATAGGTTTCCTGATAGAGAGGAAGAGAAAGGTTGAATAAGTATGGCTATATTAGAAAGGTAAATGGAGATATAAAAGATTTAAGAAAATGGAAAATTATGAAGGATGAGTATCAACTGTAGCTGGTGACAAGAAGTTTGTAAAAAAACAATTGAACTGGAGAGGGTAAGGGAGGAAGTCAATAAATATAGATGGAGAGTGAAAAAGTACAAGGAAGTGTTAAGAAGGTATGTCTGAGAGAATGTGTTAGAGTGATGTTTTAAAGGATAGGTTAAGGTGGTAGGTAGGAAGAGGAAGAAGAATGAGGGATGTGGAGTGTGAAAGTCAATTGGGAATGTAAATTAGAAGTGATATTGGATGGGGGTTAAAGAAGGGATCAAAAGAGGGTTTTATGAAGGAAATTTGGGAAGAAATTATGACAGATTTGGATCTCCTCTCCAGATGGTTGTGTGTAGTTTTTTGA